GTGTGTGTGTGTGTGTGTGTGTGTGTGTGTGTGTGTGTGTGTGTGTGTGTACATTCTGAATAAACAAACCACAAGTGTCCTAATGTATTTCAGTCCTCATGATATTGGAAGTGCACAAGAAAACATGACTTCAACTCACCTCCCCAGTGGCATAAAAGTCATTCTCTCTGAATTCAGGAAAGAGCTGGAAGAACTGAATTAGTGCACTGCGAAAAGAAAAACAACAATAAAAATCACACGGAATCAGAATGGCGTCATGCTGTGCCACTCAATCTAACCCTCTTACAATAGGTTTCATATTTGCGATAAGATACCATTATGGTGTAAGCTTCTATAGGTGTTTTTTTTTTTCTCCAAAGTCTCATGTGCATGACACCCCGTACTCTGTGGATGGCTAGAAAGCACTGTGGTCTTTGTGATACTAAGAAGTTGAGACAAGTGGATGTCACACTCTGGGCAGGTTTCCAAATCTCTGGGTTACCAACTTGGATCTTCTATCTGTGGAGGGGACCCTTGAGCCACATGATACAGACTTTCAGCTATTTCAGCAAGTCTTGGAGGCAGTTCTATAAACCTTATGACCTCATTAACCTGGGTTTGCGGTGAGGTGAGGTAATGAGAACCTAACTTGCTTACCAACCTCTCTCTGTGGGCAACCCTGAACATTTCTAATGGGGCTCCCAGAATTTCAGTGTTTTAATAACCAAAGAACAGAAAAGCCGTAAAATGACTATAGTCTAAAGGAAACCATGAAATGGCCCTGGAGATGGAAGTAAAAGTACAGTGGCCCCTAGGTTCCAAAACTCATATTTGCTAAAGAATGCCAATAGCTACTTCAGTGGGTTAGGCTGAAATGGATTTAAACAGACTCAAGAAATGACCTCATCATAAGCAAGAAAAGGCTGAATCATTAAATGATTCTCTTCTTGACCAAAATCTTTCAAAAAGGAAACAAAAACTTGTGAAACTCAGAAGCTCTATGAATGTTTTGACCCAGATTGCAATGCCAAAGAATCTGGACAGGGTTTTTGTTCCAACTTCCTGCTGAGGGGACTAAAAGCCATGAACCACCCAGTAAAGATGAAAGGCAAGGAGGCCCTGCAAAACCAGGCGGAGAAGAAAGTTCAGGATGATAGAGAGGCTAAACTGGGTCATTACAATCACCGCAATCCCAGCTATCCTTACTTTTCAAAGGCTCCATAAACACCCACCATTAATCACTACTATAGAGTTTCAGTGTATTTTTCTATTTATTATTTATAGTAACCAAAATCTTTGTAGCAGCTAAATCTGGGAAGCTGCCTTATATAGTTTCCATGTTTGTGCTGGCAAGATGCTGGCTTCTGAGTAGAGATAAAAATAGGAATTTATCCTCCACCCTTCCCTCTCTAACCTTCAGGCTAAAAACAATTTCTTTTTCCTCTCTTCCTGCTATTAATAATTGGAAAGGCAATAGATAATTGAATATAGTAGATTTCAATGAAACCACATGCCTTAGTGTACAGTTTATTTGCTTGGAGAAATTGTTGGAGAATTGATAGGGCTGGCAGATTAGCACATAAAAATACAAGACGTCCAGTTAAATTAGAATTTCAGATAAACAACAAATAATGTTTTAGCCCAAGTATGTCCCAAATATAACACGGGACATACGTAGATTAAAGAACTTATCTGTGGTTGGCCGAGTGGCGCGTTGGTTAAAAGCTGGCTTGGGATGCCAGCTCTGAGCAGCAGGGCCCCGGTTCGGGTCCCACATATGAGGGCCAGTGACACTGCCCTCTACAGCTAAGATGGTGAACAACAGCTCAACCTGGAGCTGGGCTGCGATGAGTCGCTGGTGACGGAGTAGGCTGCAGCCCCTGCTGCAGTGGGCTGCCATAAAGCTACCGTGAGTGGCCGGCAGCCAGTGTGAGCGGCCGGCAGTGTGCATGAGCTGCCAAGAGCCACCGTGAATGGCCGTCCAATGGCCGGCGACTGATCTGCCTCAGCCGGGAAGAACACAGTGATAATACGGGAAGAGTACAATGATAATACCAACATGGGCCAGTGAAGCAACGTCCTCCACAACTAGACTGAAGAACAAAAGGACAGCAACTTGTCTGTTCCCCTTCCCCGATTCCCCAACGCTGTTCCCTTCCCCAAATAAAAATCTTAAAAAAAAACAAAAAACAAAAAACAAAGCCCCAAACTTATTCATTGTTTATCTGAAATTTGAAGTGTTTATCAAATTTAACTGGACATTCTATATTTTATCAGGCAATCTTTGCTAAAGGAGGTAATCCTGGGTTGCTTCTAGCTCGAAAATACCAGGATTCTCTAGCTGAAGTGTCCAAAGCAAGGCCCGACTTGAGCAGATTATCATAGAGTTTTAGTTTCACATAGGATTTAAGCAGAAAATCGGCTAATAATAGCAAGCCGTTGGTAGGTCTTTCTTAAATGGGAGTAAAAAAATGAAAAAGGTAAATTAAGTGAGGTTTACATATGGCATTTGCTCATTTAACTGTGTTTTAGTTAAGAACTCATTATATGGTTAAAAATCTAATCTAGAATCATGGCCACATGAAAATTTCAAAATTTAACAGCAGAATTGTTAAAATATGTAATGGATAATACACATGTGTGTGCACATCCCATGCAAGTAGGCAGGTACAATAGATATGGCATAGGAAGAATGCCTCTTCCAGGCGATTCCATTTGGCTAACTTGCTGGCATTGCACCAAGGACTTCTCTAATAATCAGAATTCTAGCCCGAAGCTACCTGGTGGCAGAAACGTACATGAAAGGACAACAGGAAGAAACAGAGGTTACAAGAGAGAACGACTAGCAGAAAATTACTCCTCAGATAATTTTTTTCAAAAAGGGAAGATGTTGGCTTCGGGACAGAGAAGGTGTATGGAAATGATAATGCTCGATAGACCAGAAGACAGAAACTGTGACTTGATCAGTTCTAATGGTGTCAGAGGCATAGTAAATACAAGGCATTCAGGAGAACCAAGGTTCAAATAATCTAAGCGAAGTCTCCATTACAACAAAAGCCACACAAGGTGCAGCTTTGGTCACTGACAGTTTGACCGACACAAGCTCAGCAACAAGAATCTTGGGGGTTTTCTTGTGTCGCATCAGAAGAGGAGCCATCCTCGGCATTCATTCCACCTCTGCTGTGGCCGGGCCATGGTCTTCAGCCTGAGACGGTCATATCATGGTCTCATTTAATAGGTGAAACCATGTTTGATAGTCACGTTGTTATGAAGCTTTGTTTATCAATAGGTACGATTTCCCATGCCAACCAATATGTGGAATAGAATGACGGTAGCATTTCCATTTGGCTGCTGAGGAAAGTCCTTCAGACACATCATTGGAGCAGAGGCTGGGGGCTTGCTTCCTGCTGGATCGCCAGCCCCAGGAATGGCGTCTGGCACATAGTAGGCAATCGATAAACACTGGTAGAAGGACTCAGTGTACTCCAAATCAAAGTTAGTAATTTATTATTCTTCGGTAAAATCTTTTTCTAAACCAGAGAGGCATTGTGGCTCAAGAGCACAATCCAACGAAGAACAACAACAAAAAGAAGACTATGTAAACACCTTGTTAAAGGGAAAGTTCCATTTCCATACACTACATAGAAAAGCAGCCTGAACGGGGATGTCAAATGCTCCTTTAGCAGTCTTCTCCTTAAAGCCAGGTGCTATTAATAGTTAAAAGAAATGGGATTTTTCAGGAAAATTAAAAAAAAAAAAGGTGGCTTTCAAAGGCAGAAGAAGAAAGGTTTACTCTTTAAACCTGTAGTAGCCCATTTACAGGTTTCAAAGTCAACCACCCATCTGGAGAGCTAGAGAGAAGAATGTAGTCACAAAGGGAAACAAATAGTGTAAACTATAAAGGCAACAGCTGAAATCAGTTTTCTGCACTACCCTTGATTAGCTATTTTCCAGCTCTAAGAGCCTGAAGCAAAAAGAACTAAAACAGCTATAAACAATGGATGCTTTGAAATAGGTTCTCTTTACATGTCAAGCAAGAGGAGATGTACCACATGTCAGCAGTAAATATCCACAGAGGGTCAACTGGAAGCTGTGACCACCTCTGGGGGAGGGGAAGGGGTGGCAGAAAAGAAAGGCAGGGCTGCAGTACTGGGGCTTATTGGGGATTGATGTGTTTCTTAAATACAGAACCTCTGCCCTCAGGGTGTGTGCTAGTTAAACAACTAAGCTTGTTTGGATTTAAACAAGAGTGGTGGTGGTGGTGGTGGTGGTGGAGGGGGGAGAGGAGGGGAGAGAAGAGAAATACAATAGGATTCCAGTCTGAAAATGAGAGCGCACAGTCAGTCCTCAGTGAGAAAGACATGGTCCTTGAGTACATTTGTAAGGGCAGCCATTGAGGTTATGTCTGTGGAGGGAAAGAGGACGTGTGTGAGCTAGAGGGAGGGGAGCCAGACCTCTGCCAGGATCTGCCCAATCTGCTCCCAGGATCCACTGTACCTGGAAGCAGAAGTGGGGGGGTCCTAGGTATCCCTCCCTGGAAACTGAATGGAAATGTTAATAAAATGGGGCATGCAGCAAATGAAAGTGTAGAAGACGAACCCATATTCTCTTCTGGCTCAGAAAGCAGAGAGAGGGAGCAATGTCTCTGGGAGAAAGGCCGGGAAATTGTTCTTTCCTCTCTGCCCCAGCCACCAAGAAAACGGAAGGCTTTTGTCAGAGATCAAAAAACTCTGACTCCATTGGATTCATTTTCACTTTTGGACATGGGTGAGTTTGCTGACCAAGTAATTAGCAGATTGAGTTGTTTGGAGGAAGGTGGGAGTAGAGGAGCTAGTTAACTCTTTCTGGCCACTCAGGTTCTTTCAGTAAATTATTACGATGCATAAATAGTGGTGGCTTAGAGATTGGAAAGAATTCAGGACTCTGTCTCTAGTAATAATTTATGGATTGGAAAAATGTGACCAAAAAAGCTCACTTACTTTTTAAAGTACACACACACACACACACACACACACACACACACACACACACACACAGAGAGAGAGAGAGAGAGAGAGAGAGAGAGAGAGAGAGAGAGAAAGAGAGCTAAAAAATGTATACACATTTCAAGAAAGGAAAAAAATTATTAAAATTGTAATAATATATACCAATAACAAAAGATGAATATAAGTCACGTTTGACTTCTGCGATTACAAGAGGTGCGCAAAGTGATTACCATCAGCATAATTTTAATACAGCTTTTTCCTTTATTAAAATGTGTATACATTTTTTAGCACCCTCTGTATATACTAAAAATTGCTATAATACTACAAGAAAAAGAAAGGAAGAAATTATATGTAGACCATTTGATCAGACTTACAACTACATTTTCCTTCAATTTTTTTTTCAGTAAAAGAATAATTTTATAAGATGAAGCGAAAAGGGAAGAGACTAGCTAACCAACTCAGCTTTCAGCCTGAAAAGTCATGAGAAGCAGCAAGAGAATGAAAAACTGCATCTGAAAGCCCCAAAAGGAGGAATCCTCACTAAGAAAACAAGCATCTGAGAAGACGTTGCTTCCAGCAAAAGCAGAGTTAAATATAACGCTGAAAAGCGAGCAGGAACCTCTCAGACATCTGGGTGAAATGTTTGAAGATCATCTTTGGTTGAATAAATCTGCTCGGTTTCCATTGTTTCTTAAAGGATATTTTTACCAAATTACAGTTATGCCTTAAGGGGTCATCTCTCCTTGTTACTTTCTCTGCTAGCCACTTTCACAATTACTGTGGATCATGTAACAAACTGGAAAATAGAGTGTGTATGTGTGTGTGTGTGTGTGTGTGTGTGTGTGTGTGTGTGTGTGTGTGTTTGAGTGTGAACTCCTCATGTAGAAGTACTCTTAAAATGTCTCCAGGAGTTAGACTAGGAGAACCAACCAATAATACTTATACTACTGAAAGAATGTTCCGATTGAAACAGAACAAGGTTTGGTCTGAAGAAGGCCATGAGAGAGCAGGCCCTTTTACCTGAACAAATCTCGGGCCACGTCATCCTCATTGACAGCATATCCCTGGGGATCATCTGTAAAACTGAAGCCTGTGCCCACCTGAAGGTGAGACAAATAACCAGGAATAAACACACAGAAACACATGCTTTGGAACCCCACAGAGAGAGAGCACCCTGGAAGGAAATGGACCCACTCCAAAGGTTAAGCCCTTGACCTTGGATTTTGTCATCTGACTTTGGATTTTGCCATCGTGTATGTGAACTTAGTTATCCTCACAGGAGGATGCTGCATTTCATCTATTTCCCTTCCCCTTCTCCAAGCCCCAAGAAAATATCAGCACAAAACTTTGCCCTGCGGTCAGTGGCTGAGCTGTCTTGATTCTGCGGAGGGGGGGGGGGGGCTGCCAGATGTTGATGGAAGGATGAGGAAGTTACCCCTCCCTGCCCCTGCTACAGTATCAAAAGGTTCAGTTTCTCCTCTCTTGAAACCTGGAGGGTGCGCTGCTGTCCTGCTAAGAAGGAACTCTCTTGACTGATGAGAAAAGATTGTTATGTGTGTGTTTTCATTTCCTTATAAGTGAAAAAATGGCCACTAAGCACTTGCACCTTCAGTAGCCAAGAGGCTTTAAAACAACTAAGAATTAGTTTTAAACTAATATTTCCTTACACCTAGAAGTTCATAGACAGCTAAGTTGTAAACAAAAGAAGAAGCTACTGTTATGTTGGGTAAATCATTTTTATAAGGAATGCACCGCCCACCAGGTATAAATACTTCCCTCCACCCCCAAACACCCAAGGGAACAGGACATTTAATTCAACACATTTAAATATGCAATGACAGGCTAGGGAAGAGGATGGTTGACAAAACGTGGGGTGGGGGTTGGGGGACAAGGATGTTTGGACTTTTTTCTCCCTATTTACCTGTTTTCTCTTTGAACGATCTGGGAAGTGAGAGAAGTTAGAGAAATTAGGGGGCAAAGACACTCCCAATCTGCAGAAGTGGACTCTAAAGTTACTGTCTTATACTGCAGTTTATCGGACTCAATTTCAGAAGAACTTCCCAAGAATTCCACTTCTTGTTCCGAGATGAGGCATTCCGCTCATCTGTGATAAGTGAGGGAGACCTATTCTGATTTCTTATATCTAGAATTCTATTTGAAATATTCAGAGTCCTGACACTATATAATAATAACCCATGATGTGAGGAAGCCATATCACTGGTGGAAAGAAATGACTCCCTTATCCTAGATGGTATAATTCAGTGAACAGGCCATTTCATAAGATTAAAAATGAGGAGGAGAGAAAGCAGCAAGTAAAATTCCCAAACCCGGATATACTAATACCTGTTAGAGCAACTCAATCTCAAAAAAAAATTTTTAATAGATTAAATTCTATTTTAGGAAGAAAATAAACTCAATCTCTATTTCCTTTCCTCCCGTTTCTTAAATGTACTTAATAAACAGGGAAAAGACAAAAAAAGGGCCAACACTGACATTGCGTAGGACCATTGGGTACTCACTGGATTATCAATGTAAAGCATGGACAGAGTGGTGGTCCAAGGGAAGTCTCGGGCATGCACTAGTAAAACAGAGAAGAAGTTTGAGAATGGGTGAACAAAACATCCCCCCCGAAAGCCCAGCTCTGATCAGGAGCTCAGCACGCCCACCTGTCCTCCCCACGTCAATGTACTCTTGGGGTCTGACATTGCTCCGCCCTCTCACACTGGGGAGTAGACACCAGCACCCCTTTCCTTCTCTCTTCTCCTTCACTTTTACCAGACCCAGAGGGTTTCAACATCTAAGATGAAGTTTGAAAATAAAACCCTGTGCAGCTGGTTCATGCAGAACACCCACCAACCAACCAACCAACCACGTGATGAACCATCCATCCCATCCACTGAATCATCCTGACCTCCGGTCCTCCTGAATACTCGTCCTCCCCACCCCAACGCTGAAGAGAACAACCTCCACAGAATCGACACACACGCTTTTCTACTGAGTCACGAAAAGGTTCACCCTCCAAATTCTAGCCCGGGAAAAGTAAACAATCCCTATCCTCCACATTCCCCCCCAAAAGAGGCAGAGGTAACCCTGGGTTACAGCCAGATGTGGCTCCTTCTCCATTCTTTCGTTCATCCCGGCCCTCACCCACAGTATCTTGCTTCCAAGATATCTGATCATGTATGTGACTGAACCATACAGTGTTCAGTTTGTGTGAATAATTAGGGATGTAATTCCACCCATTAGGCCCACGCAAAAGAGCTTGCCCAAAAGTAATAAATACCACCTGTTTTCGCAAGGCCAGATTGGTCGAGTTAGCAGCAGACTGCAAGGAAATAGCTTAGAACATTTCACCCAAATTTCAAGGGTGAGAGCAGCCCAGCCAGGATGCTCACCCTGGTGGTTCCTCCTTCTGGGGCAGACACTGCCAGAAAGCTATGTTTTTATAACCTGGAACTGTTAAGCTATTCCTACTGGTTCTGTGCACACCCTAAATTATCTCTGGAGCAGATATAAGGTTCAGAGGGTGAATTCTCCATATGAAAACAAGGTCCAAGCAATACTTACGGGTCAGGTTACGTGTGACCACATAAGGTCCGTGTTCCACAAAGAGTCCAAACATGGATGAACTTCCCGGCCCGCCCTGCAGCCAGAGGACTACTGGAGCTTCCGATGGATCTGCCTAGAGGGGGCAGAGAGGGCAGTAACCACACAGAGTGCCAAGGCTGCAGAATACACCCAAGCACACGTCCCCAAATCCTCTCCAGGTCCCAGTGACCACTCTCCACTACCAGCAGAGTACCTGTGGTCATCTTTTGTTGTTTTGATTAGTATTTTCCTCATATCCTGGGGTCTATCTTGTGCTAAGTCTTTTCTCGCCAATGGTCTGGCAACCCGTTGAATGTATTGTAGAAGCTATGCCTTTGTGTGCCCCCCAGACACCCAACATCCTGCCTGGGGCTCAGTCACATGTTTTTAGCTGTTTAAACTTCCAGCGTATTCTCCCAGCTGACCAACATATTCCCAAAGAGGCACAATGAAAAACCTGTTGTCCTCTGTGAGAGTCTGTCCCCTTCACTGAGGGCCCAGGCCGCCTTTATGATTTTATTCACTAAGAAGTTACCCACTGAGACAACAGAGAACCTCATTCAACATGGGGATGTTAGCCCGTGCAAACGACAGTGACAGAACCCTGAACAAGGTATGGGTTTATTTAGGAGATGTGGGGGATGTAAATAAGAAAGGGTCATTGGCAGGGTTGGGATGCTGAAAATCAGCTACTGGCAGTAAAGTGTCAATACCATCACTCTCATCAACGGTGGGTTCTTTAATTCTTTCATTCAACACGTATCTATTGAGCACCTCATACAGGTCGGGTGCCACGCTGGGAGAAGGTACACAGCAGAGAAGTGAGTGAAAAAGAAAACCTGTCCTCTGGGAGCTTACATTTTCATGGGGAGTACAGACCATAAGTAAGTAAATAAATAAAGGTGACGACCAAAGAGGGTGCCAAGGAAATATGGGTGATGTTGAGAGTGACTGAGGGCTGAGAAACAGGGGGGGCGCTCTTCAGACACGGTGATCAGGTAAGGACTCAATGAGTCCTGAGAGTTGAGCTAAAACCTGAAGGCAAAGAAGGGTCCAGCCGTGACAGGGGTCAGGAAACACTGCTGGAGACAGAAGCAAGTGCCAGGGAAGAGCCTCGAGGAAGGAGAGCTGGGTAGAGAGCAGTGAGGGCAGAGGGTTGTCTGGACCAATGGGACTGCTCCAGCGCAATCTCAAAGAAGCTCCACCTGGCCCCACCGAGGCTCACAGCAGGATGTGACAGTGAGCCCCCAGTAGACGTCACGGCTCGTTTCATGTTCAGTCAGCCAGGCTCAGCAAGCAAGGGTCCTATTGCTTCAGCCCAGAACAAAATCCCGCAGCCTCTTACTTAGCCCAGTCACAGAGACAAATCGGCATTTCATTAGGAAGTCCGAGAGGACCGGCTCCATCTGCTTGGATGATGTGCGAAGGCTGTGGGCAGAAGAGAAGACTAACCCAGGAGGTGATCTGGGATGCCACAGCCGAGAACCTGGAGGACGGGCTGATCATACAGGGTTCTAACCATGAGGGCAGAGCGGCCAGAGGGCTTTCTCTTCTCCAGTCACAAAAAAATCAGACATGGAGTCCTTTAGCAGCTTTGGAAAGGGGCCAAGGGGGCTTTGCTGAAAGAGAGGAGGTGGTAAGAACGGCCTCCCTACGGGGGACTAGATCTGGGGCCCACGCTCCAGTATCAAGGAATTAAATGAGATACTATTCGTAAAGCCCTTGCAACAATGCCTAATGCGTGATAAAAGGACAATCAGTGTAAATGATTATTATAATGAAGGAAATAGGTAGAAGCCCAGCATGAGACTGGGAACTTACATCAGCAGGGCTATGCCTCCCAGAGTCAGCACAGTATAATGAATAAGTGTGTGAGCTCGGGCCCTACACTCAATTCAGGTCTGGGCTTGACTATCCACTAGCTGTGTGATTTCAGGCAAGTTGCCTAAGCTCTCTGGGCCTCAGTTCCCTCACTTGGAAAACGAGGATCACAGTACTTCTGCCATGTGGTGTTTGGGAGGAATAAATTAATTTGCATAAAGCCCAGTGAGTGGCCTACAGTCCCTGTGCTACAAATGTTAGCTATTGCTATAATAGATAAATACTAGAAATGTATAGACAGTTTTAAGGTAAACTGTCGATAAATGAGAGAATAGGAAAAGTGGGTTATTTGGTGTTTTTCCTTGCTCCTTCAGCCGACATTTTCCCTGGTCGGTTTTTCACAAGCTAGTCCTCTTGCCTCAAGTGTCCATGAAGAATTCAAGAGGACTAAGGACTTGTCGCATAAGTTGAAGCCGGAAAAATTAAATCAGCCAGCCTTTCACAGCTGCTGCGGGGAGGTGGCAGCCAGGTAGGTCTGGTTCTCCCTGGCCACACAGCAGCGGTGGGATGACTCAGTTTCCCGACCCATCCAACGGCAGTGATGCCCGCCTCACAGGCTTGCCTGAAGGCCCAGAAGAGAAAGCATGTCATGATATTGCAAACTCTACGGTACTGAATAAATACAACCGGCTCCGCCCTCACCTGCCTGGCCCCAACTGTGTGTATTTTGATTAAGTGATTTTTGAATCTCCCTGCAGGTCCCCTCACGTGCTATTTAAGGCCATTGACCAGGACCACCTTCCACTTGTATTCACTCAGCAGGACGAGCTTATTAGAAGGAGAGAAACAATGGAATCTGATGGCAGTCGTTCCAGCCCCCCAGAATATGAGATGATGAGACACTGTGGGTCCACCCATTCCAATGGACATCGCCCCCTTCCGTTCTCGTCCCACCCCTTCTTCCTAAGGTGCACAGAAGCTTCTAGAAGCCCCAGCGCGCTCCACACCAGCCAGCGGTTCTCAACCTTGGCTGCCCTTTAAAACAACTTGAAGAGCTTCTTTGAAGAGACGACTGCCTAGGCCCAAACCCCAGAGAGTCCAATTCCATCGATCTGGGGTGAGGCAGACATCAGTCTTTTTTGGAAATCTCCCAGGGGGTTCCAGGTGCAGGCGGGGCTGAGAGATGGAGGGCTGGCCCTCTTGCTGCCCCAGGCCCTCTGGTTGCCACCCTCTCCTTCGCTTGCTTTTCATGTCCCTTCCTGTGGCCTGGCACGGTGATGGGAGCTCCCAGCTCTCAGAAAAATAGCCTGACCCTGAAAGGCCACACTACAAAGTCAAGTCCAACACCTCCGTGCCAAACATCTTTATTATGCAACTTTGAAGCCCAGGACCCTGCGTTCCTGGAATGCTTCAATAGTAAGAGATCTGCATATACACCCCTAACCTCAGCTGACCTTGTTCCTCAAATTTACTTTCCTGAAGGAGGTGAACGATCTCAACAACCCTTGAACAAGCCCATTTTTAAAGAAAACTCCACACACACACACATCTTTCTACTCTGATGAGCCAACCAACCTGAGACCTGATACTGCCCTTATCTGGAATGAAAGGCAAAAGTCAGATGCTGGAAAAATAAAGGTTTACATGTTCAGTGCTAAAAGCCCAAGAGGTGGCTAGTTATATCACAGCATGCAGACTTTTGTAATATAATATGACATCATAATGTCCTGACAAATAATAATAATAATGTCAATAAGAATGGCATAAAGTTATTATGTGATAATTCCTGGGATGACATATCTAGCTTTCAATTGTGAGAATGCAGCCCTTCTCCCATGCTCTACCCCCCACTTAGGAAAGAATAAAAGTAAATGACGAAATCCTGAACAAAACTACATTGCAAAGCTTAGGATCAAGTGAAGTAAAAAACAAAACAAAACAAAAAAAACGCTTTAATTCATTAACAGTTCTACAAAATTTATGACTTTAAGGTACTTATTATTTTGAAGCTATAATTGAAGAGCGTATAAAACCGGAGAAATAGGGCATTTATTTTTGCCAAAAGGGTTTAAAATTTTCCTTAAATCTTTTTATATTATAAAGAAAGTACTTATTCTGAAATTTGTTTTCAGAGAGAGTATAAAAAATAAAATCCCCCTTGCTCCACCAATCCTATTCCCTAGAGATGATCATGAGATGCTTAGTCTTCCAGATTTTTCTCTATGCACCCCATTTATACTATACACATAAATACTTTTTTTTTTCAAAAATAGGATCAAGCTATAAATAATACTGTGTGCTTGCTGTATTCACTTGAAAACATGTGGAAATCTCTTCATGTCAGTACATATCATCATCTGAATTTACCATATTCATTTAACAAATAGCACAGACCACTCATAGGTACTGTTCTAGGGCTGGGGCTGCAGAGCAGCTCCCACTCAGGTAGGATACCGAATGATTAAGAGCATGGATTTTGACAACAGACTGCTGAGGTTTGAGTTCCAACTATGCTATTTTACAGCTGTGTGACCTTGGGCAAGTTACTTAACTTCTCTGTGTCTCAGTGTCTTCTGTTTCAAAATAATAAGAATAATGTCTATTTGATACGGTTGTTGTGCAGATTCAAGGAGTTAATATATGCACAGCCCTTAAAACAGTGCCTGGCACATTTAGTTAGCCCTGATTATTTTTCTGGTGAGGTGGAAAGTACATAAGTAATTAAATAAGTGGGTGCTATGAGAGAGTAATGGGGGGCCTTAAGGTTGAATACTTAAAGAAGGCCTCTGGTGACAGGCTAGCATTTGAGTTGAGACCTCAAAGATGACTAACCTCCTACTGATAAGCATTTATTTATATTTAATTAAAGGAAAAGAAAATCTCTATTAATGACATAGAGGTATAGCAACAAGAACTGATGATCAGAAAGAAAGGACAAAGAAATTCTAAATATAAAAAGAATCCTAAGTATTGAAGCGAGAAGTCTCTCTAGCAATAGAAGAGTCGGGGCACAAGGGTCCCACAAACCAGCATGTTTTGTTGGCAAACAAGAAACTCCTGTTTTGTTGCCCTCTGGATTCTTCTGGTGACCCCTGGTGGCCGATTCGTGAACTCGGCTACTCCTTCCTCAGGGTTTGTTCCAGAATGAACAGCCTGGAAGCAGTCAGGTGATCTATTCGGTTTTTTGGGATCTCTACAGGACGAAATTTCACAATTTCTCACATCAGCACATCTCACTACTTATTCACAATGATGGTGAGTCTACCCTATGTTTTAATTGACTGTCATTCGAAGTAAGTGAAACATTTATTTCGTTTAACATTCTGTGCACAAAAAGGTTCTCAGAAACGCCCTTCCTGTCTTCCTTTCTCCTTGCTTCTAAGTGAGCACAGTGGAGACTCTATGTGTAAACTAAATGGAACTAAACTAGAACTAACCCTCCTGCCCTATTGCTCCCCATGTAGACATGGCCTCCATGGATGGCACCCCGTTATGCTGAGTCTCGCTTTTCACCCCTGCCCCCATCAAACCATCCCCATCTTCTGTTCCATCCTCCCAGGCCCTCCTCTATGTGACACAGTAGAGACAGCCTTCTACTGAGGCCTTACACATATCACTGGGGCAGTAAGTTCATGTTCTGGGTGGGGGGCACTTAAGACTCACCTATTTCATTACTCTCAGGTACCGTGTTTGTATTTTATACAGAGGACTTATTGAAGTGACACTAGGGAATCTTAGGTATCTCGACATGTATTAGGGAAACATTTTCTGCCAGTGTGCAGGGCGGGGTACATACTCTAGCCACCCCCTTCCGACCCCCTAAGATACCTCATACTTTGTAAGAGAAACAGTAACTAAACCACTAATGGACCCAAATCAATGGTACCACTTAAGATGAGAAGTGCAATTAGTAAATTAACTAAGGCCCCCTTCACACTTCTATATGCAGAGGCTGATCATTTGTGTGGTTTATGTAATGTGTTCTATCTTAATTGAGGTCACTAGTACCCCAAGTAAATGTCTTGAACTTCCCTCACATATGTTTGAATGGACTCCTATTTTGCCACCCAGATCCCAGTTCAGCTGATACTTCAGCTCCTACACTAATGGTGTAAATCAAGGCAGGACTTCTTAGTTAAAGCAATTGGTTTTGTGACCAGATTGTTAATAGGTACCTAATACCATTTTAATTCTACACACACACTCCCAACCCATACAAACCGCTTGCTGAAGACCGTCTGTGCTTTTCGGGGGGAATTTTACTTACAGTGGTTGGTGTTGCCCACTCACCAAATCTTCCTTCACTATGACTGCTGCCACGGTACCACCACCAGTGGAAAATTAGCTTTTTCAAACATTCTTCTGTTTTGAGGCTTCCTCTTAGCTCCCACTGACTCTTGAATTGTCTCATTAATTTGAGCCAGCTTACACCCCACGAGAATCCTTCTCACCTTTTTTCCTTCCTAGTTACGGCTCCTCCGTTTGTGCCCTGCCAGAAAGTGGCCCTTTAGAGGGGATGGGGGAGGGGGGGGCGGGGAGAATGATAGAGAAAAGGCTCCACTTTCCCCACTTGATGCAAAGAAAGAAATATCTGAAAAAGTTAGCTACTTTCTTCTCTCTGTTTTCATTTCTCAAAGGGAATCAGGCGCACCAAGGTTTCTGCACAGTTCAAATATGCCAATGGATGGAGTGACCTATAATTGATCATTTTTCGCTTTCTTCTTGTTTTATCTCATCTACCTTTTATTCTTCCTGATCCCTGATGTCGTTAAGTATATAGCAAAGAGAAGATAAACAGAGACAGTTCGAAGAAGACAAATGTCTGTGACCCCCAAATCTTTACTGTATGACAAATGGATCTATAGCCATCTGTGGTGACACATATTTTAAGAGATCTGTCTAGCACACACCCCCTTCTCTAAGAACTGACTCTCCATTTATTTATCAATGGAAAAAAACTCATTCGCCATGTTTATGTCACATGACCCAGCACCCGCAGCCTTAGCTGATTAGACCAAGAAAGGACACCTGACCCAAACTGGACCAATCACACTCTGCCCCTAGGAGAAGTGCCAGTTAATCTCTGTCAATTGCATGTTCCAAGGACAGGTAAACTTGGAAACTGTGGGGTAGCCATCTTCTGCCAAATGTCTGGAAAGGCAGAACATGTTGTCTGCCCAGAGAGAAGAACAAAGCACAGATGGGTGATCCTGTGGTCTTAGGCAGAATGAGGCGGAGACAGAAAGGCTGGCTACCCTCGTTCCTGATGCCTCTTCATTACCTGGTTCCTTAGGCCAGATCTCACTTTTTGCCCTTGGTGTTTCCAGGCAGGAGAGGATTTAGAATCAGGTGGCTATATCAGTTAGGGTATAATCGGGAGATAGAAACCACATAGCAATTTTAATTTTTAAATGTTTCTGGTTTTGAAATTATTATTATTTTTAATCTGGAAACATTGACCTTTAATTCTGTTAAAAGTTTTAGTGTTTATTCTGGCTCCTTCCAGTCATGGGCAAGATTGGGGTTGGAATGCCAGAGGGGTCTGATCCCCAGTGAGCTACGCCCTGCCCTCAGTGTTGGGCAAATGCCAGCATGCTGGGCGGGCTTCCTGTGTCCACCAAGAAACAGGGAAATTTTAATATAAAAAAGGTATTCATGATAACGGGAGGATAACCATAAATACATAAAGAGAATTCTAAAGAATACCTGGGCTAAGGGAGACTGCCCATGATGGACAAACTCATAAGGTGTTTGGGGCTCTTCGCAACGCTACAGCACAGAGACCTTGTTGGAAAAGGTATGGGAGTAACCCGCTGGGTGGCTGAGAAGGTCACAGGTACCCAGCCTAAAGACGTCCAAAAGTCCCTGGACAAGTAGGAAACAAGAACAGCGGGCTGTGGCTGGCAGGGGCGGGGAGTGCAGAGGAAGTCAGGGTGTTGGGAGCCCACTTGCTTGAAGGGAGGCCCACAACCAGGAGTGCACAGTGTCTGTGATGGGAGGGCTGTGAGACACCATCCTGCAGGCCACAGGTGTTGAGAGGGCTGCAGGGAAGGATGGGCTGTAGGGAGCCTGCCATGCTGTCAAGGCCTGAGGTGTGTGGTGTCCATGTGGAGAGGGCCCCAGCCAGGTGGGCATCACTGGGACAGAGCCAAGGCTATATGCTTGCTGAGGGTCTCTGTGGTCTGGGTACCTGGCTAAGGCAGAGCCACTGAATGTCCCCACAAACGTACTGCTGACAAATTAGGCAGTAGGGCCAAGAGAAAGCAAAATGCAGGACAAGGGAACAGGAAGAGAAACCAATTTCCTCCTACAATGTCCCTCCAGCACCCTCTACTGACAAAGCTTAGCATCGTGTTTGCTGCATAGGAACATGTTTACAGCTCTTAAATCAGGTAAGAGGGTAGAACTGAAGTTGAGAAAAAAACAAAACACCTCGCCCAAAACAACAAAATAACCTGGCACAGTAGCCACCATACCCAAAGTTCTGGTTGTCACAAGCTAGCATGGTCACAGTCCAAACACACAGGACAAGAGGCTGTCTTAGTTATATAATGCTACATAACATGTCTCCAAACCTTAGCGGCTTAAGACAACAATAATCACTTATTATCTCTCATGTTTTCTGTGGGTCAGGAATTTGGGGATCTCTGGCTGCACAGTTCTGGCTCAGGGTTTCTCATGAGGTTGCAGTCAAGTTATCAGCCAGGGCTACAGTCATCTGAAAGCTTGACTGGGGCAAGATGAACTTCAGCCAAGGTTGGTGTTGACTGAAAGGTGGACGCCAGGCTATCTTGGAGGTTAGTTACCCCAGACACCACAAGTTCAAGGGCTCATTCACTCAACCCAGCCCTGACTTAGACTTCTGGATGTTTTTATAACTTAGGTTGTACATTCAGCGTGTCTAACAGGCAAACCTGCTAAAACAGCATTCTGGGCAGGCTTCCTGTGTCCATAGAATATAAGTGAGCCATAGAATACAAGACTGAGAAGGGACCTTCTAAGTCAACTAGGTTTAACATCTTTATTTCTATATAAGAAAACTGAGGCCCAGAGAGTATGAATGCCCCATCCCAAGCTGCATAGCTAGGAACTGCAGACCTTGAACCACAACCCTGGTGTCCTGACCTCTAGTTCTCGCTTCCCAAATGCAAGCACGCTGACTAGCTAAACTGGAATCACTGTGGTGTTTGCTAGAAATAGTGGTCCCTGAGCCCCCTCCAGAGATTCTACTGGATCAGAATTTCTGCTGGGAGGGGCTGGACGCTGAGCTGGGAGAGCTTCCTATTGGTAAAACTCCCCAGGTGTTTCTGAGGAGCAGCTGCAAGTCTGAGAGTCACTGCCCTCTATCACCCCTACTGTTGCCAAAGAAATTCTGCCACCCAGAGGAGGGAGTGAACCTAGCACAGGTGTAGCCCGGTGGAGCCTGATTCCACGCCTTCACCCCCAGAGTGGCCATCCTGCAGGCTCCCAGGTATTCTCGGGGACGAGCTCTCCCACTCGCAGAGAGAATGCCTTCTGCTTTGGCCCAGGAGCAAAAGAGCGGCTCGCTGCCCTTGCACTGGATTGTGGATTTCTGGACTGTGTTACCCTAATCCTGTGCTCTCCTGATTTCCTGGTGTCTGGTTAAGCAGGGTTACCACCTCATGATCCTGAGAGGGAGGGGACACCTCCAATGTTGCCTCCAGGTGCCCCATGCCTCACCTTACCCCAGCCTTGCTGACTCCTCGATACGACACTGGCGTTTCTCAGTCATTAGATACTCAGGCTCCAGGAATCCCAGCCACCCCTCTTCGCCAGAGGAGCAAGATGGGGCCCTGAGTGCAGGGGCCTAGGCCTAAGTCTAAACATCTCAGGTTTGGGCTCTATGACATTCGAGATAAATAATCTGCAGGTTTGGGCTAAAGGTATCCAACAAATCACCTACATTCCTAAAGAAAAGTACAATATTGGATATCTTTTTCCAATGAGAAGGGTTTTAATGAAGAAAAAAATAATAATCTATATGCCTGCTTATCTTGTTAAATGTGAAAAATCCCAATTTCACTTTGCAATGTCCTCATCCAGTAAGCAGTTCATCCGCATTGCTGGCTGGCATTCAGCTCCTTCGGTTTTGTCTTCTTTAATCTCCCACATCGTGACTGGCTCAGCTCTGCACAGCCTGTGTGTGACTCACAGGACATCTCCTAATGATAGTGATTTGGATGGTGCTTAAATAATAGCAACAGCAACTCTGCTCACTGCGTATCTGGCCCCCAACTAAGGACTTTCCCATATTATCTCATTTGTCTCAGAACCACTGTCCAGTAGGTATTTTCATCCTCATTTTAAAACAAGGAAACCAATGCTCAGAGAAGTTCAGAAAATGTGCCCAAGGTCACATTTGACACAAACAGTGGAGCCAAGATTTTATGCAAGCTTGACTAACTCAAGAGCCATGCTTGTAACAACGGGCGTCTAGTACCTTCCGTGACTGTTTTCTCAGGATCACCACATGCTGATCAAGAGCAAAGATTTCTCCGTCCCAGATCTAGTGTTAAGTTCCAGTTCTGTGACCCTGGGTGGTGAGCACACAATGTGATATAGAGAGGATGTATTATAGAATTGTACACTTGAAACCTATGTAACTTTGCTAATAATTGTCACCGCAGTAAACTTTAATTAATAATAATAAAAACATTCCAGTTCTGTCAATCTCTTGTTGGGAAAATTGGGGCTAATTATTTAATCTCTGTAATCCTCTTCATCTCTAAAATGAGGATGATAATTCCTTCCTCGTGTGATTATTGTAAGGATTAAATTTTAAAAATGCGCAGTGTTTAGCACAGAGTCAATGTGCAATTAACAATGTCTGTTATAACTGTTACATTTTTATTGGCTTCATTATACTTTTTATCTCATGCAAAATGCCGATTCGTTTCTCTTGCAGATTGTATCCCCACCGCACACCAATTTCAAGTTCTCGAATCTATTCTGCACCGATTTGTACACAATGACAGGGGAGTCTCACAGAAATAACAGGAAAACAAAGCTAATTTGAGAAACAGCAGCCCCCCCAAAACACTCAGAGGATATTACAAACGTCGTATCCTTCCTGGATCTCTTATTTTCTCTGCCTTCGTTTTCTGCAAGGGGTCCTATCTCTCTTGACGACAATATCAGCTGCTTCCCTGAGACAGGCCATGAACTAATATATCTGCCAAATGAAAGGAGCTCTCTCCCATCTGGGCGACCACTGCTGCTGCTTCTCACGTGCTTTATCCCCTTTATCCAAACTGGCCCATTCCATAATTTATAGCCTGACTGACTCAGCAGGGATAGTTGCTCTGGGGCCTCGGAGACCTGGCTTTGCAGGTGGGCCCCTGGTAAGGAGGTTTTGGAACAATCCATAGTGGCTGCCACAGGGTGACAGCTGTCAGGGGCACCGTCGTTTCATCTCTGCCTCTCTCCCCTGAAGCGT